ATTTTTGCAACTCAGATTTGGAAGTTCTCATCACTGACCTGTGGCCTGAACTATGCAGCTGATGTGTTTGATGCTTCAAAAATGTGCACAACCTCTTCCATTTTTGGTCTCCCTTAGAAACCAAGTGGTAGGGAGAAGCGTCTGGGTCAAATAAGGAAATAAAATAAATTCATAGAACTTCCATTCTTTGCTAGTTCATGCTCAGTGCTGGCTTCTAGGTCCCTTCCTTGTCTCTTGCATTGCTTTCCCGTTTATATCCCATTTTCCTCCATTTTAGAAAAATTGTCTCCCTTTGTGGAGAAAATGCCTGCATTTCCCCATATAATGAGGGTATGCAACCTTTGGGGTAGAGGGCAAGATGTCAGGAATTGCATTTCCTCCAAGACGGGCAGGGTTAATTGTGCTTAATAATTTCCTTTTCCACCATGCAGAAAATCACAGTTTGGTGCTAACGTTTAGAAGAGGAAATTACAGCTGATTTTGTAATTGCTTGGAAAGGATGTGCTGGGGGCGTCCTTCTCTCCCGCCCCTGATTTTTCAGGAAGTGCCAATCCAGGTGTAACATCAGCAGAGGGCTAGGAATTTTTGGAGTTGCAATCACTCTATGTGTCAAACCAGCTCTAGGAAGGTTGCTCCAGCTATTGAAGTGATCCAGGGCAAAATATTTTGGAAGATGATTTTGCTACAGCGGGGGAGAATTTCACCTGTTTTTGCAACGCATAGCATGTCAGTGTACTGCATCCCGCTTTGGAAGGGCAGGCAGGGAAAATATTTAGTTACTGTAGCCCCTCTTGAGTCCAAGGCTCTCAGAGTGGCTGGCGGCAGTGAAAAAACAACAGAAGGCAGCAAAAACAGTATTAATGAGGCCATCAGCAAGTCACCTAAAGGCGAACCAACAAAGCAAAGCTCCAAATCAAAATGGCAATTGATTTTTGGCAGCTTGGATTTTATTATTTACAGGTAGTCCTCCTTTTGCGACTGCCTTGGACAGTGACTGCAGTTACAACGTTGATGAAAAAGTAAGTTTACAACCAATCGTCGCCTTTATGACCTTCGTAGGTCTGTAAAGCAAAGGAAAGATGAAGTCAGATTGTAAGCCCAGTCACAGTTTCACTTAGCGACCACTTCACTTAACAGCCAAGTTGCCAGTACCAAGGGTGGTCGCTAAACGAGGACTACTTGTATTAGTTGGATGGACATTTGCAGGGTCTGTTTTAATCCAATAGAGTAGTATGATTTCTTTTATTACCATATCTTAAACAGAATTGTCCCTTTATTTGTCCTTGCCACTGTGTGAATGATCTTGTAAACATAAGGGTATACTGAAAATGGGGATGTTAATTATATTAACAAAACTATGCTATCTTTTATAAGAGGCCCAAGGAAAAACCTTTAAGGTAAAGTTTATGGACATGTTGTTTTCTAGAAAGCAACATGGAAATAGTTTGCCATTTCTGCCTTCTGCATTTTTTTTTGTTTTTGTTTCCAAGTCTAGCCTTCAGCCTTAGGGTTTCCTGATGATCTCCCACCCAAATCCTAACCAGGTGTGACCCTGCTTAGTTTTTTTGAGATCAGCAGGTCAGCACAGCAAAAAGGTTGTTGCAATGTTGCTGTGGCATGGGATGGTGAGGAGGCTATTCTGCATTTGTTGCTACCACTGAAAAGACCTTGCTCCTGATCACCTCCTGCCTCAGGTTTGAAAGTTGGGGAACACAGAGGGTTCATATTCCCAGAAATAGACTTGTAGCTCCTGCAGTTGATTCAAGACTAAGGAGATAAGAATCAGGGTCAGACTGTAACACAAGTTTATGGGTGCCATCAAGACTGGGGTCTATGGGGCAGAGAGGGAGATGAGATAAAGGACAGACCAGAAATAGCAAATTATGAGTAGCAGCAAAGAGGTCAGATTTCAGCATCAGGGTATTCCAGACCCACTGGAACCAACCTTTCTCCTTAAAATAATGTATAGTCAGGGGAAAAAGTTGGCACATTTGTGATTACAAACACTCATTTTATTCTTCCTTTCTCTGAAAAGGTCTGCAGCAAAATGATGTTTTTCACAAGTAAATATCTTTAGCTTCAGGTCAGTGAAAGGAAATCCCATTTTATGCTTGTACGCATGAGTGGACTCTGATTTAAATGAGTTTAAAAATGGAGAGAAACGTTATGTATGTCAGGTTCGGTCAGCACGAGGCTTCAGGGAAGCACGGGGTTGCAGGGAAGCTCGCAGCCAGACCACGCGGACCCAACCGGCGGTAGCTGGCGGGGAAAAGAGGAACCGAAAGCGCCGCTAATTAACGAGCCACCTGCGGCCAGCTA